AACCCATAGATTCCAAACTTGGCCACCAAGTTGCATCTAGGGTTAATTTGGCATTGCATTTGGAGTGCATTTGGCCTTAGCATTTTCGGCCATACAACCCTAAATGCAACTCCTCCTATAAAAACCCCACACCCCACCACTTGTAAACACTTTGGATGTATATGAATTTGAGTGAGCATTCTTATGCCTCAAGTCCCTATCCTTAGTCCCTAGCTAAATTCGGCTAGCCTACCTTCATTCTCTACCCTTGGAGAGTGATACCTAGAGTGGCCTCCACCTACCTTGGAGTGAGCCAACCTAAATCACCAAACACCATCTCCTAAATAGCTTCCGCCCAAACACCTCCCTTCGCAACCCACTTCTTCCTCCACCCAAAATCTCCTTTTGTCTTCCTTGTTGAACCTAGATCAAGGGCAAGGCTTCCTCTCCTTCATCTCTACGTCATTTCATGGAGAAGGAACCCATCAAAACAGGTCCCACCAGGCATGCCAATTTGTTTGAGGGGGATTTCGTTAATGGGCTCTTTTTACTCGAACTAGCGTACTAGAGAAATTCTTCAATTTTGGTATGCAGAGATTTAGCAAAAATACATAGATGAAGATAACACGAAATGATTAACTAGAAGAACAAAGACGAATAATACAGAATGATTAACAAGTGCTAATTTCCAAATACTCATTAATAGTAGCTGAACAATAATTCTCATACACATAAACGCTCAAATGAATTGAGTGAATGATACATACATTGGCAATACAAATCATCATATAATTACATAACTGCAGGATTACAATGTATAATGATTTTTAAGAAACCAACTAACTATGAACTATAGAATTAAACTAGACTAAACTAATTCTAAGGAACGAAAGAAAATATGGCCAAGAAGTCATACCCAACAACAATCTAATTCTAAGGAACGAAAGAAAATATGGCCAAGAAGTCATCCCCAACAACAACCCCATGCATAGAAGCCATACGCACAGGTAGAAAGTGCTTAGAAAAGTGCAAGTATGAATTTTTCAACATCTATGAGTGAGGCCATATCTAATATTTATAGAGATTTAATGTGGGCAGTTACTTGCATTCGTGGTCATCGTGGTACGGTCATGTGGTTTGTAACTTCTCTCCAGAGTTCTCAACTCCCAATAACTGTTATTCACACGTTCTAACACCCTCTCGAGTGATCTTTTGGGTTAGTTATTAGATAACTTCTCAGAACTACTTCAACCGTTTTGATTCTATATCCTTTGTAACTGCTCCTTTGATTGCCCGTGCTTCTTTCGAGTTCCTCTTATTTGACCCATCTTCGCATTTCCTTATTTCACCTTAAGGTTATATAGTTCGGTTAGGACTTTTTCGAACTCATCTCGAGAATATCATTCCCCGTTTTGCTAGGCCTTACCTATTTTGACGCCTTTTTCGATCATTGTCGAAACCAATTTTCTTCAAGTAACAATGTCTAATGCGACCCTTTTAAAAAGTCCTTTAAATTTGAAGAATGGATAATGCCCAATTAATTATCTCATTCTTAAATTCAACTTTTCTTATTCAAAAAAAAAAATTCAAGTTTTATTTGAAAAAAAAAGGGAATTGAATTTTAAATTACTTAGTCACAATGGGCTTGAGTATCATCTCACAAACTAATTATTCCAAAAATATAAATTATGAGGTAAAGCCGTAAAGACATAAAAATTAATAATGTTTTATGTTATATCATGTGTCTCTAACATTATAGAATTTATAGTAGCATTTTGAACCTTTCATGAAGCAATAATTCTCTCACCATAAGAACAAAAAGAAAACATACATTTTTTTAATATAAAATAATTTTAACTATTTTTTTTTATTTAATGATACTTAAAATATATTTTTAATGCATGATTTTTTAATTACAATCTTTTTTATTTATAATAAAAAAATAAAAAATGTATAGTAAAATTTAATACACATGAGCAATTTCCTAAATCGGTGAAAAATTAGTTTTTTTTCCTTCTTATTTATAATAGAGAA